TCGGACAAAACGCCGTCCATTTCCCGAACCTTGTCTTCCAATTGCCTCAAGGTGGTCTTTTGCTTCTTTACCGTGGCCTGTCGCTTACGCAGCAACTCACGAAGGTCACCTTTCCCGCGGCTGTACTGTGCACGCGCGACGCGAAGGGCTCGCTGGGTTGCATCCAAGCTTGACAGCGGCATGGCGAAACAAAGAGATAGTTCAAGGAAGGACTGTCGTGGGATAGCAGAAACTTGAATGCGGCAGCATATGCGCAAGGCTCACAATCTCAGAGTTGCCTTATAAATCTGAGCTGCATTGCGCGCATTCATGCAATGCGTTGTCTGATTGTTAGAGGCCGGATGCTAAACATGCAAGGAATACCGAGTCGATCTGCTTTGCGTATACCAGCTGAAGCCTCCGAGCACGCGTGGGTTAAATTCCAGCGCTGGCCTATTAAGAAAACCGATAAAAACCCAATAAGCAAAGACTGCGAAAGAATAAAACCACACGAAGAAAGTAATAAGGATTATACGTTCATATGTTCCTTGCTGCGGGTATGTGGCTGCGCTGCTTTCTTGCTAATCGATTTTTGTTAAGTCTGCAAACTGAACATTCCAAGCTTTTTTTTGAGGCATCATTTCTGAACATATTTTTAAAGTAAATCTCTTATTGTTTAGACAGAACACTAGGGTTTTGTTACTGTGTTCTTTGTTTGTTTTTTTTCGTATGTTGCACATATTTGGGTTTTTTGTTTTAGACACAAGGGGCTTAGGGGTTTAGGGGTATCTGGTTTTAGGGTCTAAGGTTTAAGGTTGAAGTTTTCTTCTTTACTAAAACTAAAAAATCACCAAAAAAAAACAAGCACGAAAATTAAAAATGATACAAAAACATGGGCCAACATCCAAAGCTCTAATAGTAAATAATAAAAGATGATGAAATATTATAAACAAAAACTGATCAAGCAAAAAACTGATGACAAAGATAATAGAAGATTATACAAGATGATTAAAAAAAAAAGGATTAACCAAAAAAAACAAGTATTATAAAAGATAATAAAGATAATAGCAGACGATAACCATAGAAGATGATTAAGATATGGGTGCTGTCCAAACAAAGTCCAAAGGATGACCCGATTAAAAGATGATAAACGATGATAAAAGATGATAAAAGATGATAAAAGATGATAAAAGATGATAAAAGATGATAACGATAGAAGATGATTAAGATAAGGATGCTTTCCAAACAAGGTCCAAACGATGATCCGATTAAAAGATGATAAAAGATGATAAAAAAAGATGATAAAAGATGATAAAAGATGATAACGATAGAAGATGATTAAGATAAGCATGCTTTCCAAACAAGGTCCAAATGATGACCCGATTAAAAGATAATAGAAGATGATAAAAAAATATAATAAAAGATTACAAAAAAATAGTGGTTTTTCGGATTTAATTAATTTAATTAATTTAATTGTCCAGAATTAAATTAATTAAATTAATTAAATTAATTAAATTAATTAAATTAATTAAATTAATTAAATTAATTTAATAGGGTGAAAATCTGGAGCTGGAGCCAGGCCCTTGAAGAATTAAATTAATTAAATTAAGTAAATCCGAAAAGTGGTTTTTCGGATTTAATTAATTTAATTAATTTAATTCTTCCAGGGGAATGGTTCTACGCCAGGATTCCTGCCCTATTAAATTAATTTAATTAATTTAATTAATTTAATTAATTTAATTAATTTAATTAATTTAATTAATTAAATTAATTTAATTAATTTAATTAATTTAATTAATTTAATTAATTTAATTAATTTAATTAATTTAATTAATTTAATTGTCCAGAATTAAATTAATTAAATTAATTAAATCCGACAAGTGGTTTTTCGGATTTAATTAATTTAATTAATTTAATTGTCCAGAATTAAATTAATAAATTAATTAAATTAATTTAATAGGGTGAAAATCTGGAGCTGGAGCCAGGCCCTTGAAGAATTAAATTAAATAAATTAATTAAATCCGAAAAGTGGTTTTTCGGATTTAATTAATTTAATTAATTTAATTCTTCCAGGGGAATGGTTCTACGCCAGGATTCCTGCCCTACTAAATTAATTTAATTATTTTAATTAATTTAATTAATTTAATTAATTTAATTAATTTAATTAATTTAATTAATTTAATTGTCCAGAATTAAATTAATTAAATTAATTAAATCCGAAAAGTGGTTTTTCGGATTTAATTAATTTAATTAATTTAATTGTCCAGAATTAAATTAATTAAATTAATTAAATTAATTTAATAGGGGGAAAATCTGGAGCTGGAGCAAGGCCCTTGAAGAATTAAATTAATTAAATTAATTAAATCCGAAAAGTGGTTTTTCGGATTTAATTAATTTAATTAATTTAATTCTTCCAGGGGAATGGTTCTACGCCAGGATTCCTGCCCTATTAAATTGATTTAATTAATTTAATTAATTTAATTAATTTAATTGTCCAGAATTAAATTAATTAAATTAATTAAATCCGAAAAGTGGTTTTTCGGATTTAATTAATTTAATTAATTTAATTGTCCAGAATTAAATTAATTAAATTAATTAAATTAATTAAATTAATTAAATTAATTAAATTAATTTAATAGGGGGAAAATCTGGAGCTGGAGCAAGGCCCTTGAAGAATTAAATTAATTAAATTAATTAAATCCGAAAAGTGGTTTTTCGGATTTAATTAATTTAATTAATTTAATTCTTCCAGGGGAATGGTTCTACGCCAGGATTCCTGCCCTATTAAATTAATTTAATTAATTTAATTAATTTAATTGTCCAGAATTAAATGAATTAAATTAATTAAATCCGAAAAGTGGTTTTTCGGATTTAATTAATTTAATTAATTTAATTGTCTAGAATTAAATAAATTAAATAAATTAAATTAATTAAATTAATTTAATAGGGGGAAAATCTGGAGCTGGAGCCAGGCTCTTGAGGAATTAAATTAATTAAATTAATTAAATTATTTAAATTAATTCCTTTCCTTAAAGGCAAGGCGGCACGCAAAATAGACCCGAGAGGGCTCTCTCACATATATATATATATATAGGGTTTACATGGCTTACTCTACATGGTTCGGGCGGTGGGGAATGATCCCTAGGCCGAGAGAAGTCCCAAAAAGTCGAAGATCAGAAGGCCTGCAGCCCTTCATGCTATTGGACTGAAAAAGGCGCGCCGTCCCAAAAGGGCCTTCGCTACTCTTGTAGTAGGGATTGCTTGACTGCGTATCCTGTCCATTGAAGGGTGACAAGTAACTAGATCCATTTTGGACACTTCGAGAAGGGGGACCGCTGTTTTGGTTTAAGAGTTTAGGGTTCGGGTTGTCTAGTTCGGGGCTTTAAGGGCTTTAATCAAGGGTTTGGGGGTGTAGGATGCTTTGGGAGGGAGTGGGGACTTGCCAGGTGTACCTTGTCAGCCGTCGCCCACAACTCAATTACTTGCAAAAAGGGTTCCGCTGTCCAAGCAAATCCGTAAGACGAAATGAACCCAATCATAGGGTTCATTTCGTCTCTAAGCATTGGGGCGCATCAGCAACAATTCATACGCTTGCTCAACGAAACCTAGTCAGACTTGGCACGTCGTTGATTTGCTGTGGGGCGTTGTGTAGATTGGGGGGACCTAGGCCCTTTAACCCCCCCCCCCCCCCACAAAAACAAAAAAAAAAAACGCTAAAACAAACAAAAACTCAAGAAGCCCGACCCCCGACGTCTCTCCCCCGCCCCTCAAAACCTAAACCCTGAACCCTAAACCCCGAACCCTAAACCCTAAACCCAAAACCCAAAACCCCAAACCCTAGGCCCTAAAACCTAAACCCTAAACCCCCGGACGCTCCTCGGTGCGCTCCTGGACATCGGCCCCTTGGGCCGCCAGCGCCTGCTCCATTTCACCACTTGGCGGTTCATGGCGGTTCGTGAGGGGTTAGGGATGGTTAGGGTTTAGGGTTTAGGATTAGGGCACTTTTCATCAGGCCCCAATGTTAGACACAAGTCCTGCGTATAGCTTCGAGGGTTAGGGTTTAGGGTTTGGGTGGGTTTTGGGGTTGGGGATTTAGGGCTTAGGGTTTCGGGCCAACTTTGTAGCCCAGTACCCACATTGCAACAAGAAGGGAACCGGCAACCCAAAAAGGGCAAAAGGGACTGGGCTACCAAGGAACGATGGAACATCTTGGATTGGGCCCCAAACCCTAAACCCTACACCCTGGTTCTAGGGCTTCGAAGTTTTGCAGTTTGGGATGCGCTCGGGGTGGGGGGGAGGGCATTATGCACATCTCGGCTTGAGGAGTTCTTAGGGCATTGCGGTTGGTAGCATTCCCACCACTCGGCTCCCTCAACCAGAAACCGTAAAACTCTAGGGTTTAGGGTTTAGGGGTTTGGGGTTTAGGGTTTAGGGGTTTGGGGTAACTGTACTTATAGCTGTACTTAAAAACCATATTAGGGCACTTAAGGGTCCTGTAAGTGGGTCATAACTACAGGTATATTTTTAATAAGTACATGAACCCCCAAGTATTTCATCACAAGTCCTGCGTAGAGCGTATTAGGGTTTAGGGTTTGGGGTTTAGGGTTTAGGGGTTTGGGTTTTAGGGTTTGGGGTTTGGGTTATGAAGCCCAACATTGCAGCCCCCCAGAATAGCAGAATGGGGGTGGCATCCAAAAAATGGGGGTAGAGGAATGGAGGCAAAGCTGCCTCCATTTCTGGCCTCAATCAAGAATGCCGGCGAAATGAAGGCGTTCTAGCTTCTCCATTTTCTCACAAGCGTCAGGTAGGTGTGTACTGTTCTGTTGGGCCAGCGCGCGCAAAAGCAAAATCACAGCTGGGTTTGATGCTGCAAGTCTGAGTGAACAATAACCGTAACCTGGTACCTACTCGCTAATACAATTGCTACTTTAAGCCGGTGCTGCTGGACACTCAAAATTGCTTGGCTGACAAAGCCAAGACTGTGAGAGTCTGGGTCCTGTCTGTCACAGGTCCGCTGGCACTTAGCTCAGGCTACCGTCCTGGAACTGCTGAGCGCTCTCATACAGGATCTTATTGATATCCTCGGCTGAGACGCCGTCGATGCCTCCCTTCACATCGGCGATCTGTTCGCCGGCCAATGCCCTGCATTCCACATTCTTCTCCGCGCTGTCCCTCTTGAGCAGCACCAGAACCAGCACACTCTCAATGAAGATGACGCGGCTCGTCCGCAAGCTCGATGCGGCATCGTTGACCACCGCTATCAAGCCGTTTGGGGTTTAGGGTTTGGGGTTTCGGGCCACTTGGTAGCCCAGCACGCATATTTGCAACAAATTCCCACCACCCGGCCCCTAAACCAGAAACCCTAAAAACTCTAAACCCATCAACACCTAACCACTTATCCATAAACCCTAAAACCCTAAACGGGTAAACCCTAAAGTCCGAAACACGAAGCCCTGAAACTCCAAACCCTAAAGACCTAAAACACCAAAATCCCAACTCAAAACCCTAAGGCCTAAGCCATAAACACCAAAATCGTAAAACCGCGAGCCCCAAAAACCCTAAGCCCTATAATACACTAAGCCCCAAAATCCAAAATCATAAGCCAACCCGAATCAAAAATTGGAAGCACTAAAACCTCAAACCCTAAAGTCTCAAAACCCCAATCCCCAAAACCCAAATCACAGAGCCTAAACCCAAAGACCTCAGCACCCCAAAGCTCGAACCCCCTAAAACCTAAACCCTAAACTTCGGGGCTCAAGCCTTCTAGGGTTTAGGGGTTAGGGTAGAAGGGTTATAGGGTTGTAGGGTTTAGGGCTTTCTTGGGCCTAGGGCCGAAGACCACATGATCCCTTAGCCCGTGCAGCTGAAGGCTCAGCGCCCTAAACCCTAGACTCTAAACCACCTTAATAGGAAATGTTGTGGCACAGGGTAGAATATATATGCCTCCCCCCCCCCCCCCCCCCCCCCCCAAATCTAATTAAACTAGGCCCTCAAACCATAACCTATGTACCTTAACTAGTTGGAAATATACAGTAGTACAGGGTGCATGACCCCCAATTCTAGGGTTCGTGAAGCCCCCTAACCCTAAACCCTAAACCCTAAACCCTAACCCCTAAACCCTAAACCCTAAACCCCAGGGTTCCCGCCTCCACCACATCTGCAAAGCCACGCTCTGCAGCCACATGGAGTGGCGTTCGCCCGCCCGCAGCCCCCGGACTGCACGGAAGATCAGGGTTTAGGGTTTGGGGTTAGGGTTTAGGGTTTGGGGTTTAGGGTTTAGGGTTTCGGGTTGAGGGTTCAGGGTTCAGGGTTTAGGGCTTAGGGTATGTCGGCGAACAGGGGGAGGGGTGGGCGAGGTTTAGGGCTTGGGTCAGGTTTAGGTAGGGTTTGTTCTGGTCCCCCTACGTGTCCCTGAACAGGGAGCTTGCGTGTACTTCCCTCTTTTTGATTGCACCTAACTTTGATTTCGCTTTGGCACGGGGGGGTAAGGAACCAAGGACTTCGGAGATGGTTCATATACCTTAATAGGAATTACGCATACGACCCCAAAACTTTAGGATATGACCCCCCCAATTTCAGGGTTTGGGGTTTAGGGTTTAGGGTATATGACCCATCTGGATACCAGGGTGAGGCTTGTGGCAATGGGATGCAGGGTCATTGGCCCATGCTGAGATCATGGCTGTCTGTTGATCTTGTGGGAGAGAAGCAGCTCCACCACTTGCGCATGGCCTGCGAGCTTGAGGCATCGGTGCAGTCATCTGTTCGAAGCCCAGTTGGTGGTTGGCTTGCAGAAATCAGGGGGTGCCTCTAAGACCCAAAACTCAAATTCATGCATCTCCGGTTCCCTATCTCAAGCCTAACAACCCAACCCTAAACCCCAAACCCCCCAAACCCGCCAAACCTCAAACCCTCAACCGCCCCCCCCGCCCCCCCCAAACCCCCAAGAGACTCGAGACCCTGAAGAGAGGCCTCGCTCAGCAGCCGCATGTAGCGGAGTGCTTCCATCCTTCTGTGGGAGGGCTTACTTTTTTGGGTTTAGAACTCAGAAAAGGCCTTAGGGTTCGGGTTCAGGGTTTATAAGGGTTTCGGGTTTTGGGTTGGAGTTTAGGGTTTCGAGGGGGTATGGGGCTTAAGAGGCTTTGTGTTGACAAGAACAATTAGCCACCTTAAAGCCCAGAGCCTCAACCCCGATAGACATCTCGCGACTGCCAAGGACGGAGGGTCTATAGGGCCAGTGGCCTCAATAATGCGAAGGGTTTTCGGGTTTATTATACTATAATTATATAGCGACAATCAGGGAATGAGGTGAGTCTAGGGTTTAGGGTTTAGGGTTTAGGGTTTAGGGTTTAGGGTTTAGGGTTTAGGGTAGTTATTCCGACCCCTATAGTAGACATGGACTGGGCCCTTAGCCCACCTGAGTCCACCGTGCAGCTCGAAGGGACCAGGGCTCAGGCTCTACTTGGAGGTTCGGGGTTTGGGGGTTAGGGTTTAGGGTTTAGGGTTTAGGGTTTAGGGTTTAGGGTTTAGGGCTCAGGTTTAGTTGGAGGTTTAGGGGTGTAGGGTGTAAGGCTCAGGCTCTACTTGGAGGTTCATGGTACTTATAAACGAATGCGATAACTGTACTTATAACCCACTTTCATGGTACATTTTCACCAAGTACAAATGTACTTATAAACCACTTATCTGTATGGGCTTAGGGGTTAGGGTTTAGGGCTACTTGGAGGTTCTCATGGTACTTATCAGCTTAGTTGATGAGTTCGTAAGCCCCAAAACAGTGTACACGTCCAGTTCTTTCGGGGATTATAGCATCCCACAAAGTCTAAAGTGTACCCATTCATCTACTCAGTTAACCAATGATAAGTGTACTTATTATAACCCACTTCTAAGCCCCGTAAGTGCCCTAAGATGGTTATAAGCCAGAAGCACAGTGATAAGTACAGTTGTAATTGGTTAATGGGTACCATGAACCTCCAAGTAGTGACAGTGGTACAGAAGGTCCCGAGGGTTTGGGGTTGATTAACCACATGTGACACCTCAACAGCACAATAAACAGAACAAGGCCAGTGCTCACCTCAGCCATAGGATCCTACAATATCACCCTCAACCCTAAACCCTAAGCCCATACAGGTACATACGCACATTTCATGCATAAGGACCCTCCAAGAAGCGACCTTGTTAAGGGAACCCAGAACCCAAGAAAAAGTTAAAAACAACGGGTACTTAAGAATATACTCTTTAAGGGATCATGTAGAGGTACCTAACTCACCCATTCCCTAGTCTAGAAACACCCCGAAACCCTAAACCCTACTAAGAACCAGGGGGTCTAGAAACACCCAGAGCCATCCCCTCCAGGATGCCTCCGCCCGCACGTTGCCATCCGCCTTGGCCTCAAGCCTTGGATCGCTGGATGTCTTGGTTGCTGGGTTTAGGGTTTAGGGTATTTAGAGTTGGATCTGGGGAGCTCCCGCTGAGGTACAGGAGCTGGGTTAGCGTTGAGAGAGAGAGCTGGGCTCCAGGGTTTAGGGTTTAAAGTTTAGGGTTTAGGGACAAGGGTTTAGGGTTTAGGGTTTAGGGTTTAGGGTTTAGGCATCAGAATTCACTCCGAAACGCTAGGCACGTACAGATTAACCTACGGGTCCATGTGCCTATCTAGCAAATACTCTGGCCTTAGGGGGAGGGGGGGGGGGGGGGGGGTCCTATATACTAGCTTTAAGGCCCAACTTATATACTAGAATATATATATATATATATGTACATATCTAGAGAGAGATATACATACATGCATAGAGACATACATATGTATTTTCTATGTGTATATATATATATACTATATATACATATACATATACATATACACATACATATACATATACATACACATATACATATACACATACATTTACATACACATATACATATACATATACACATACACATACACATACACATACATACATATACATATATAAACAGAGGTACATGGACCCTTAGGGTTACATTTTTACCCCCAAAGATGTTGCAGCTTTCTTTGCAGGTTTTGTGTCGGGTGCACAGCTGTCCCCCCCCCCCCCCCCCCCCCCCCCTTCCCAACCTACACGAGTCTGCAGGGCTTGGGGTTTAGGGTTTATGGGTTTATGGGTTTAGGGTTGTGTGTTTTCAATTGCTCCTTCCAGTCAACTCTCAATAGTCACCCTGAAAACAAATCAGCACAACCTTAAACTCAACCTCTCTTTCATATATAATTTAAATGTTAAGGAGTTACTGGGCAAGGTCATTTTTTTACTGGGCAAGGTCATTTTTTTACTGGGCAAGGTCATGTTTTTACTGGGCAAGGTCATTTTTTTACTGGGCAAGGTCATTGTTTTACTGGGCAAGGTCATTTTTTTACTGGGCAAGGTCATTTTTTACTGGGCAAGGTCATTTTTTTACTGGGCAAGGTCATTTTTTTTACTGGGCAAGGTCATTTTTTACTGGGCAAGGCCATTACTGGGCAAGGTCATTTTTTTATTGGGCAAGGTCATTTTTTTACTGGGCAAGGTCATTTTTTTACTCGGCAAGGTCATTTTTTTACTGGGCAAGGTCATTTTTTTACTGGGCAAGGTCATTTTTTTACTGGGCAAGGTCATTTTTTTACTCGGCAAAGTCATTTTTTTACTGGGCAAGGTCATGTTTTTACTGGGCAAGGTCATTTGTTTTCTGGGCAAGGTCGTTCCATAAGTGAAATATGTTCATAATGTTGTGGGGTTCTTCGGGCGGGTGGGTATTTTTCTGGAGTAATTTCTTGACAAGTGAATGCTTGGACCTGAGATGCCTACACGAGTCTGCAGGGCTTGGGGTTTAGGGTTTATGGGTTTATGGGTTTAGGGTTGTGTGTTTTCAATTGCTCCTTCCAGTCAACTCTCAATTGCCACCCTGAAAACAAATCAGCACAACCTTAAACTCAACCCTAAACCCTAAACCCTAAACCCTAAACCCTAAACCCGAAACCCTTTCCAGAGATTGCTCGGCAACAGCACTGCTGCCGCACCAACATGGCCGCCAAAGCCTGGGCATTGCACAAAGCTGTAGGAGCCTTCAAGCTCTACGAAACTTAGGGTTTAGGGTTTAGGGTTTAGGGTTTAGGGTTTAGGGTTTAGGGTTCTCATACCTAACAAACCTAGCCATATCCGTTGCTGATATGAAGAACCACTGAAGAACCTTGCCCTGGCTACACCACGAGTGTGTTCATGAGGTTCAGGGGCTTAGGATGCACATAGCGCCTAGTGTTTTTGCGGAGGCCCTTGGAGTGCTTATGTATGGTGAGGGTGTAGGGTTTAGGGTTTAGGGTTTAGGGTTTAGGGTTTAGTGTTTAGGCTTAGGAGACTCATCAGCTAAGTCACGACACGCTCCACTTTCAACTAAGGGGGAGCGAGAGGGCTGCTGCTTCCTTCTCCCAGAGAAAGCAACCATCCAAAAACACGCGAATAAGGGACAAGGGTTCACTCCTAGCCTCTGGATCACTCTCAGACTCTGGGTCCCAGGTTTACAGATGAAGAAGCGCAACTACAAGCCTGTTATCGTCCCGGACATGTTAGACACATGAAGCTCTCGACATTTTTTCTAGTCGCAGGCCAACGGATCCTTGTGCCATTCAGGTCCGGCCAGACGGGCAGGTTCTTGGGGGTGCGCAAAAAACCGGAAACCTTGCATGACACATGTAGTTCGGGCTCGGGATTCTCCAGGGGTGAGGGTACGGCTCTGAGGCTGACGGGATGGTTGCCTGCCACGCACGGGTCGGGCTCAATCCGATGTGCCAGATACATGCAAAATGGCAGCTTGCCCCCGCGACTTCGGTGAGGTGTCGAGCTAGCGTTCATGGGGATTTAGGGTTTAGGGTTTGTAGGGTTTAGGGTATAGGGTTGGTTCGCATGGCTTACGGCCTGGCACGGTGTTCACTTGGCGCCGTCAGTTGCACCTGTATCAATCAGAAAGTCCGGCACGGAACCTGCAGGTACTTCCATGATCTTCCATGCACCCACAAGCCCTGCCCATCATGACTCAACTGAAAAACCCTAAACCTAAATCCAAACCCTAGAAACTTTGGGGCTGTTCACGTTGATTGGACCTTCTTCATAAACTTAGCCCCACTTGTGGTCTCCTGATTCTGCTGCTGACGACAATGGGACAACACGCATTGCACGTCCTGCGAGCTAGCTGACTGTTGATTCTCTTTCCTGTGCTGGGTCACGGCAAGTCTGAGACAGCTATATAGGTCGCCTTTGGGGGGAAGCACGAAAACATGTGGCGTTGGGTGAACCATATCTAGGGAGCGCGTGCAGTGGTGGGAACTCTTGCAAATTTCCTCACCATAGGACCAGGAGCGACATGCATGGACCCTAGACCCTAAACCCGAAACCCTAAACCCTAAACTGGTGTACGGTGTGGTTAGAGGACTAGCACCAACCGCACGGTGGAACTCCGTAAATAGTCCATGGGATGGGATGCTCTGCATTCCGACCCATAGGCTGAGAGCAGGCCATGTGAAATCTGGCAAAAAGGTAAGGCCACCTTGCTTGCTGCCGCTGTGAGGGTTTAGGGTTTGGGTTTAGGGTTTAGAGATTTGGGGTGTAGGGTGGTGGTCTTGTAGCCCCTACTTGGAGGTTCGTGGTACACAATAACCAAGGATAACTGTACTTATAACCCCCCCCTTAAGTGCCCGAATATGTACAGGTAGAAGTGCAGTTATAATTGCTGAATAAGTACCATGTACCTCCAAGCAGTCACCTGACAATCAAGGACCCTAAATTGCTGGACCTAGTGTCTAAACACAGTTATTAAGCAACCAGCCACAAGCGCAGGAAGAAAACGGCGGAGCACAAAGCACAGGCAGCAAAAGCAAAACGCAGAAAGCAGCATTCCAGGCAGCCTGAGCACACACACACACACACATACACACGCAATCACACAATCACACATCCACACACACACACACACACACACACATATATATATATATATATATATATACATATATATATATATATACAGATATATATATATATATATGCATATATATATATATAAGTAGAAATATATAGACATCTTGCTCTTTACCGCTCTCTCTCTCTCTCTCTCTCTCTCTCTCCTTCTCTTTGTCTCTAAAGAAATACATATACACACACACACTCGTACTCTAAAGAAATGCATATACAGACACACGTACGCAGAAAGATGGAGTCGATGTTGGGTAATGCCTCACGCGGTCAATCCTTCAATGTGGTCCCTACCGGCACTGCACCAAGACAACCGGCGATGCGGGTCCTCGGCTAACCGGGGGCGCTATTGCGAGCAGAGGAGAAGTTCGAACTATGAAGGTTTAGGGTTTGGGGTCTAAGGTTTCGGGTAACATCAACCTTCGCAACAGCTAGGGGGCCTTGATGGGTCAAGAAGCTCAGAAAGCTGTAACTCTGGTATCTGGAGGGAAGTGGAGCCCGCAGAAAGGACCCGACTCGCAACACAAGGGCGCAGCTCAGCAGGTGCTGGCGCTGGGAGGACATAAAAGTCGTCGAGTTTGCTGCATGCCAATGAGGTAAGGGGTCTGGGAAACAAAATTTTGGCCCGAATCTCTTAGCCCCTTAAACCTGAATACTGGCCCGAATCTAGGAACCCGTGAACCCTGATTTCTGAAAACGCCAAGACAAAACCCAACTCCAACCTAGAGCCCTAAGGACCTCGGAACGGAGTAGAAGGAGGGCCGCCTACAATCCACAAGATGCAAAGTAGGGGATAGTTTAGGGTTTAGGGTTTAGGGTTTAGGGGGACTGTTGTGGATATAGACCCTCTCAACAAGGTCCCTGTTTAAGAGAGCCAGAAGAGGGTTAAGAAGGGCTCCCGTGATGCTACCTAGGCAGAGCAACTAGCTAGAGTGCGTAATTCTCCTGGTCGTGCCCTCATTCTCCCAGTTTTTGGATGTTGCGACATATATCGGTTTCTTCCCTGGGTCATGTTTGGAATGCTGGGAAATTTGGCCTTTGGGGTCCGTGGGGGGGATGTAAAGAGAGACTTATTGCCCAGGCTTCCCGGTTGAGTACTGCTGATGAAAAGCAAGGCCCACAGAAGGCTGCGCCAGCACACTGCGTATCTTGCAGCGCAGTACAGCTGCACAAATCCCAATCCTAGCCTGCGAGGCATCATATCGTGGCTGCCTTTGAGCCATAAAGTCCAATCGTGCGAGAATATGAGGGTCTATAGGCCCCTAGATAGATTCTAGGGTGGTTCTATCAGGTATGGACTCAGTCCACTTTGCCTCGGAAGATAGCACGCGAAGCTAGATTACGCATGCATGCTACGCTTGTGTTTTTCTTGCGGCACTGCAGATCGATGGCAACATCTGAGGCAAAAGCGAAAAAAAGAAGCAAGAGTCAAGACCTGCATGGAAGAGGGTCCTCAGAACGGCCATAGACCAGCAGCACAGCACATGTGCAACAGTCTGAGAAGCTCAATTAAAAGGGGAAGCTTGGAAACGGGCGTCTTTGACGCCAGCCTCGTGACGTTCACTTATGAGCGTATCGCCGCCAGGAATGCGGCGGGCTACGTGGCAGTCGGTAGAAAACCGATGCTGCACCGGGGCAAGGCGTACCTGGCTCAGGCCAGTTCTTTTCGAGTGTCGGGTTCAGGGTTTAGGGTTTAGGGTTTAGGGTTTAGTGTCCTGTTTAGGGTTCCTGCACCACCTGGTGCCTTCTATATGGGGGTTTCTGCAACCTCAAGGTTCTTGGCACGACCGTCCAAACCCTAAACCCTAAACCCTAAACCCTAAACCCTAAACCCTAAACCCTAAACCCGCATTTTTGACTCTAGCCTCCAAACAAGATTTGGCAGAGAACCACAGGTAAACAAACCACCCTCTTGCAAACCCTGGCACCCCGACCTTTCCTGGGCTTTAGGGTTTAGGGTCTAGGGTTTTGGGCTTTGGGTTTTACCAGTTACCCCCCGCCCCCTCCAAAAAAACAAAAACGAAAAAAAGGACTCCTAAGGGTATAGGACCATTTTTTGATCATTTCCCGAAAGCTGCCCCCCCCCCCCCTCCCCCCCCCCCCCCCCTCCCCCCTCCCCCCCCCTCCCCCCCCCCCCCCCCCCCCCCCCCCCCCCCCCCCCCCCCCTCCCCCCCCCCCCCCCCTCCCCCCCCCCCCTCCCCCCCCCCCCTCCCCCCCCCCCCCCCTCCCCCCCCTCCCCCCCCCCCCCATTTCCCGGAAACAAAAGGTGGTCTAATCCTTAGGCACCCGCCCCTCGCATCTACTTAAACCCTAAATGCATCTATTAAACCTAAATGTGAATGCCTTGTGCCCGACACCCTGAACCGAAAAGTTTACAGTTCAGACCCTAAACCTTCAGACCCTCTAAATCATCTAAACCCTACAAACCCTCTAAACCCTCTAAACTCTCTAACCTCTCTAAACCCGGCCTCTACACCCTCTAAACACTCTAAACCCTCTAAACACTCTAACCCTCTAAACCCTCTAAACCCTCTAAACCGTCTAACCCTAACCCTAAACCCTAAACCCTAAACCCCAAGCCCTGCCTAGGATGAGACCACGGCCCGCGGCCGCGGCGGCGGCACCACTGCGGGATTGGGTCTCGTCCGTGGCCTTCTTGATGTCCTGGGATCCAAAGGGAGCCCTATTCTCTAGAAGTAGTTTAGGGTTTAGGGTTTAGGGTTTAGGGTTTAGGTTTAGGGTTTAGGGTTTAGGGTTTAGGGTTAGGGTTAGGGTTTAGGGTTTAGGGTTTTTAGGGTTTAGGGTTTAGGGTTTAGGGTTTAGGGTTACAGCCTCGATGTTCAGGACTCAGGGTTTCGAGGCCCTGTGTACCCTGTAAGACATCCCGAAGCTCTTCTTGTTTGAGCCAAGCCCTGCCAGACCCCCAACTACCCTTGATGCTGCCTAGAGTACCTGCTACTTTTTGGGCCCTTTGACCTTCCTGAAAAGCTGAAACCCTAAACCTAAACCCTAAACCCTAAACCAGACCCCAAACCCCAAACCCCAAACCCTAAACCTAAACTAAACCCAACCCTAACTCCTCTGTGCAATAGGCTTGGAG